ATATCCAGTGGGAAGAATTGTTACTTATTTATCAATGGGAATGCTTAAATTACTTGGTCTAAAAGGGAAAAGGTGAAGGAAATCAAATTCTCGTTTTTGTCTATTACATTTTATGTTTCCAGTTGTTTGTTAACTTTGTATTGACTGCTTTATGAATGCTTTGCATGTTTTCTCTTTAAATTGGCGAACCTTATGTTACTGAAGATGAATTAAAGCTGATGCTAGGTGGGGCAGAGTTGAGTGGATCAATAGAGGAGGAAGAGCAAGTAGTGAAATAAGCTAATATTTCTTTATTGTACTAGCCTGAGTGTCTCGTTTGTTTCAAGTAAGAATTAGAAAGTTTCTTCAGTTTCTGAATTCTTTTACTGAGATCAAACTGATCAGTATCATCTATGCTTGACTGTGGTTGCACGTTTACAGTAGAGCATATCTTTTCCTTGCCATATATTTCTCTACCAATTTCTGTTTTAAAATCAGATTCTAGTGGAAATTCAATTTAATTTTTTTACCAACAGGTGTCTTTCTGCTTCTTTACAGTTCAGATGCTCTAACTTTATGAATTCCTTGCAGGATATGATTGGAAGTGTATTAGAGATGAAGGATGCTCATGTTAGAGAGGTAATGACACCCCTTGTTGATAATGGTTGCAATTGATGCAAGTGCAACTATTGTTAATTTCCAACATCTGTGGGTGACTCACAAGGTAGGGAATTGGTAATTCATCTCTAAGGCTTTGTCTCCCTCAAGAAACTTGTTGAAAGATTTTTGTTTACAGGGTACCTGTTTTTGAGCAACTTGTTGACAACATAGTTGGCATGGCATATGCAATGGATTTACTTGATTTTGTTCGGAAGGTCCAGGCAATTGCCCCCTTTAGATATAGATAACTTTAGATATTGGATTCTATTATTCCTTAGCAAAGGGATGCTAAGAAAACTCGTTGATGAAGTCCAAAACAAATTGGTGTTGTACATGTGCTGCTAATTTTCTACAGACCAATTGATCTAGATGCTGCTTTATTTCGCCAGTGTCCAGTCTCAGTTAGTTTGGCATGTACTTTTTCTGTATTTTCCATGTGACCAAGGAATTTCATGTCACTTCTCACGTCATGTAGATATTTCTCTACTCTATAGGTCTCATATCAATTAGTGTTACAAGGTTCAGCTCTACTTGATTCTTAAGTGATTCATTTATACATATGTATAATGATTCTCAAGTGATTTTTATTTTATGCATTTGCTGCTAATTGTATTAACAGGAGGAGATTCAGAAGAAAACTGGCTATATTGTAATGATAGTAGAGGGAGTATATGATGTTCATGCCCATACATCTATTTATTGGCTGAGGACTTGAATATCGAAATGACAGAGGTATATTATTCTGTACTATTACTGGTTTTCATTGTTATGGTGTATAGAGCACTGAATGGAGAATTTAAAGATTAAAGCTAAAGACTCAGTTATAAGGATCATTTCTACCTTTGATTGTTTCTTGTATTGTACACTTCTCCTGCTATTTCCACAGGCTCATTAAAATTTCATTCTCTGCCACATAGTAGTTGAACGTAGGAATCTTAAAAATAGCCAGGCTTATAAACTTGATATTTTTTATCCCAGTTGTGAGTGAAATTCTGTTTATTGTGACTGTTGTAGGATTATTATGGTTAAGTGACCGTTGCTTGAAAAATTAAAAAACAAATGAAAAAGAAAAAGGAGAGAGGATAAAGTAAATGGTTAAAATTGCAATGTAGTTTTCAATTCATTTTGAAGTAAAGGCACAGTTAATCTCACACTGTAAATAACTATCAAAATGTTCCTTTAACTTTTAAATTTCATATTTCTAATTCATTGTTCTCTGTTCACCATGCTGTTCTATAGGAACATTAGTATGAGACAGTATCTGGTTTTGTATGCGAAGTATTTGGATACATCCCTAGGGCTGTTGAGCCCACCAAAGTTGTCCTCAAAAGGGATAATCAAAGATGATGATGATAAGCATGATGAAGATGGATCTAATCATCAAGATTTGAAGGAAAGGCATCAAATATATAGACTTGAGCTAGGGTAAAAGCACTGAATGGATTTCAGTAAAAAACCTCATAAAGAAAATAAACGTAGCTAGCAATCATGCAGTCTCTTGACTCTCTTCTACATGTAACTTTTTGAAATCAATGTTATTATGGGGGCATGCATTTGTTCATATAGGAATCTGCTTTTATATTGTTCATCCTTTGACATGCTTCATTTGGTGGCTTAGTTTGCTAAATGAAACTTAGCAACTGATAATAATAATTCATATGCTCCGTTCTTATGTAACATACTAACATTCAAGTTTAAACATTTTTTCTGGAAAATAAATTTTCCATGTGATAACTGTATTGGCTAATAATTCTAAATCTTGATCACACAATTGAATTACTGATTAATGTGAGTGAAATGTTGTCCCTGGTGCAGATATTAGCTGCAAATGCCCAAAAGCTTAATGCTGTTCGTTTTGAGCAGATAAACAATGGGGAAGCAATGTCAGAGGCCAAAGATGTAACTCGATTGATTCCCAAAATCATGAAGAGGAAAGGGAACGGTGACAAATTGGATAACATTACCTATGTTGAGAATGCATTTCAAAAGAGACAAGAGAATCGCCTTTCTGATCGCTATGTAGTTGCTGAAGATACATAAGATAATGGAAATTAACTACATTGCATATTCTGTTTTCTTTTTCTTTAGCTCCTTTTTTTCCTTTGTCATATTCTTACTGCACCATGAAGAAGAAACGGAAGGAAACCACAGGATAACTAGATAGACTAACATTGTAAAAGTTTTTCACAGATGAAGTATCAACATCTGAAGTATCATCATGGTCAGTTGTGCATATGACAGTGTCTCTGGACCATAAATTCTCCAATATTGGAGTCTGAATGGTCTGAACTTGGGTATTCGTGCTCTGCTAACTAGCTTCTCTTTTGAGTGTAAACTGAAGAGGCAGCTCTGACTGAAGCATGAGTACAGGCTTCTTACTGAGATCACTCCAAAAAGTATAGCTGTTCACAATCCCACAGAGGTGGCTAGATTTTTGTGCCTATCTGTTTGTTTACAGTTCAGATGTGCTAATTTTATGAATTCCTTGCAGGATATGATTGAAACTGCATTAGAGATAAAGGATACTCATGTTAGAGAGGCCATCACACCCCTTGTTAATGTGGTTGCAATTGATGCAAGTGCAACTCTTGTTGATTTTCACCATCTGTGGGTGACTCACCAATATTCAAGGTAGGGAATTGGCAATTCATCTCCAAGGCTTTATCTCCTTCAAGAAACTTGTTAAAAGATTTCTATTTACATGGTACCAGTTTTTGAGCAGCGTGTTGACAATATAGTTGGCATTGCATATGCAATGGATCTACTTGATTTTGTTCGGAAGGTCAGGCAATTTCTTCCTTTGACACACCCTTTTTTCCATCATTAGAACTCTTCTTATCAATTATATGCAACAATGTCAATGTCATAGCGTGCAGATTTGTAATCACTTTGATTATTTTTTCTTTTTTTGGGAACTGGTGAAGGGTGAGCAACTAGAAAGTTCTACTGTGGGAGACATGGCTCACAAACCAGCCTACTTTGTGCCTGGTAACCCTTGACTTTTTTCTCTAGTTGATATTTTAATAATGTTCTTTGGGTTGATATTAACACTTTCTAGCTTTTCATGACACTATCCACTAGTTGATTGAGGTAGTTGCATAGTTTTTTTTTTTTTTTTAATTGCTATTACCCCATTTTCTCACCATATTATCCACATTTTATGTGAAGATGTCATTTCTTTTCTGATTTTGGTAATTAATCAAAGTGCATAAGACCCTGTTTCATTAGACTTATTTGTTGTTTTAGTAGTTATTGTCTAAGGGAAAAGAAAATGGAAAAAGTAGAATGCTTCAACTATATATATAGTAAAATTTAGAAAGTTGGTTTTGTAGATTCAATGTCAGTCTGGAATCTTCTTAGAGAGTTCCAGATCAGGAAGGTTCACATGGCTGTTGTTCTTAATGAATATGGTGGAACTGTTGAAACTTTACCTAAACAGAATCATTCATTGTGTTGAGGTTTTTTATTATGATAAAGTGCCAACTTCTGCCATTTTCTTTATTTTTATTTTGTGCCGCATGTCAACTTATGCTAACTTGTGATATCTTGAAACAGTAAGAGACAACATTTGTGATATTTTGAACTTTGTTCTAGAATTAGATGCTGACAATGCTTTCCCTGTTAAGAGGCCAAAAAAATAAACAAAATCTTCAGTTGGAGCTAGAAGTCCTAAAGACAAAACGTTATTCTTTATTAGCATGTTCTATGTGCCCACTTAAAGTAGTATTTGTTCATTGTTTGTTGGCATCCAAATGCCCCCTTTTTTTCCTTTCCCATATTCTTACTGCACCATGAAGAAGAAACGGAAGGAAACCACAGGATTACTAGATAAACTAACATTGTAAAACTTTTTCACAGGTGAAGTATCAACATCTGAAATATAATCATGGTCAGTTGTGCATATGACAGTGTCTCTGGACCATAAATTCGCCAATATTGGAGTCTGAATGGCCTCAACCTGGGTATTCCTGCTCTGCAGACTGGCTTCTCTTTTGAGTGTACACTGAAGAGGCAGCTCTTACTGAAGCATGAGTACAGGGTGGAAAAGCGATCTGCATGGTACATAAGGCACAGTTGCATTGATCTGCCTTGATTCAGGCAACATCCGTAAGAGCTCTTTCTCCTGCCTTATCTCCTTGGCTCTCTCCGACTATCCTTGGCTCTCTCCAACTATCCGAACCTTTCTTGCAGAAGAGCAAGGGATGGATGAACAATTGCTGGATCAATCTGTCTATCTTCACTCATTCCAGCTAGGACTTAAGATGATTATTTTAATTCATTCATTCATTCCAGCTATTTGATTCTGTATGACTAAAAGTTGGAATACAAAAGCAGCTGAGCTGCAATGTGTAACAAGGCAGAGATATGTGGCCATGTGAATGGGTGAAAGTATGTCCAGGGAAGAAAATGGTCAGGAGCAAAATCCAAAGAGATGTGGAAGGTAGCATTCTGAAGTGTTTCTTTAAGGAGAATAAAAGACTGGGTGCGTTTTGTATAGGCTTGTCACCGAGGGCCGCTGGTATGCCTTTGGAGTCTTTTTGGTGGGGGATTTGGTCGGAGCTTCCCATTATATATAGCTTTGAACATTCTCCTTTTTCATTTGTGGACAGCACAAAGCTTGAACACTGTGAACTCAATTCGGATTCTGATGTTTTTATCAAAGAAAACCCCTTTATGGAGAGGAGAGAAAAGAAGAATCAACCAAAGCCAAGCCCCTCTTTCTCTCTGTACATGTTCTATTTTGTCTTGAAGCTTTTGGATGTAAATGGCATGGAAGATGAAGTTAAGATATTAGATTGGATCTGTGGTTGTTGGGGGAGTCAAATTTGAAAAGCAATATATATCCTAAAGCTAGAGGTAGAAGTCTCATTATCCCAAACAAAAAAATAGAACTCTCATGGACTTAAAACAAGTGTTTATTTCTCACAGGTAAATATTTTTTGCTGTTTGTTTTGAATTGTTTCTATTGTGCAGATTTTGGGTGTCAAGAATTTGGTTTATTCTGGGCATTTTGGGTGTTTTGCCAGTGTGATTTCCATTTTGAGGTAAATGGTTTTTGCTTTTCATTTGGAATTCTTTCTCTGGTGCAGATTTTTGGTTTCAAGAGTTAAGTTTATTCTTAGCATTTGCTGTTGATTTTGACAGGAATGGTGGGTATTGGGATATGAGAGGTGGGTAGTGTCGGCAAGAACAAGTTTTAAAACTTGCGGTCATCCTCCAAGAGTCCGATGACTCCACCGCAACTCGCGACCCCCTCCTTCCATGGCTCTGGTACTCTTCTCTTCCCATCGCCTTACCTTTTGTGTTGGGTATGGTTGTAGAAATACTTCTGTTTGCAAAAAATTCGTTCTACTTTTCGGTTACACAGGTCGATAAAGAGGGCGCTGGACAAATGGTACTCCGGTGACCACTCCAGTGCAGATCTTGACAAGTTTCTTTCAGATTGTATCACTGCTTTCAAGCACAGTGTGCAGTACAGAAACGACATCAGATTTCTCAAGATTTGGTTCGTTTATGTAATCAACTCTCTTCTCTCCTACGCTGCTTAATCTTGGACTTAGTTATCCCTTTGCATGTAGAAAATTGTTAATTGAATTGGATTTTTTGGGTTTTGGCTTCTTTATCAAATTCAATTACCTTAATAAAGCATCCAGCCTGAAATAGTGGTGTTTAATTTGGTTCCTGCTTATTGGAGTCAGATAGCTGGAACTTTATTTTTAGCATTTAAAATTCTAGAATTTTTGTTGAAGTTAGTTATGTTTAAGTCATTGAAACTTTTTAGGGGGTGAGATCATTTGAATTTGATAGAGTAATTCAGGGCAGAGACAGCAATTTCGAATTCCCGGGTTTTACTTATAGCTGGAAATTTATTTCCTGAGTGAAGAATGTTCCCAGGGGTTCTCATAATGAGTTGGGACTTGGGTTAATCTAGAGCTTTTGGATTTCAATATTTTCGGAATTTTGCTTGGACACCCAGTAATATATTTTCTCTGCAAGCAAATCT